GCTTGATTGCATTCAAACCTGTATCTCACGACCCTAGGGAACATGAATGTGGGATCATATTTTAAGGATCAATGCTGAGACATCCTTAAGAACTATTGGTGGGGGCTGGTGCTGTGGTGCAGTGAGTTCCAGCTGCTCCACTTCCAATCCAGCTCTACTATGGCCTGGGAAAGCAGAAGATGGCCCAAGTGCTTAGGCCCCTGCACCCATCTGGGAAACCTGTAGGAAGTTCCTGGCTTTGGATTGACCCAGATGCAGCCGTTGTGGTTAATTGGGGAGTGAACCAGCAGATGGGAGACCTCTCTGTTCCTACCTCTGTAACTCTTACAAATAAATAAATCTTTAAAAAATGAAAACAGAACTAATGGTGCTGCATGGAACTACTAATCATTTATCAGTACTGATGTTAGAGCTCAGCCTGGAGCTCTATGGGGACTGTCCCTCTAATTTGTCTTGTCTTTGCTGGTTGGGTCACATGAGTTGAGGGAGGGAGAATGCAGTCCATTATGGGCCATTGCCTCAGGCAAGACCTATAACTCCAGCTGCTACTGAGCCATGTTCTTTTCCCTTGGAAGCTATTTTACTGATTTCCGAGCTTCTAAGAATATTCAGGGTCTCTGCAAGTTCAGGGCTGAAACTCATAGTGATGCTCCCAGAGACAACTAACTTAGCCAAAGAACTCTTGCTTCAGCAGATACATGTTAAGTGTCACAGAAAATAGGAAGATGTCAAGGAGAAAGAGGGTGTTCTTGGTTATTAGAGTCACAAAAGCAATAGTTCAGAGAGGAGTCACACATTTTTAAGTTTGCAAATAATTGCAATCTAACCATTTGATGTCTTTAACAGCATCTTCAATATATCTAAAAACTTCATAATTAACCTTTTCTTGCTGTCATTATTGCATATGTGTCATCTGTATTGTGTGGCGTCAAGTAGTAATGTCCTTAAATGTCATTGCTACGCCTTGGTCTGTTTGGCCCTTAACTGCAAGCACCCAGTCTGTAGAGCTGTTGTGGTTAGCACTTTCACCCACGTTGCTTCAAGACAGCATCTGTACTCAGTCATCACTGCATCTGCATGTCACACTTTTTAGGCTTCCGATGCTGTCAAAGTGTAGCTTCTGGAACTATGATCCCCAAATCCAAATTCTGATTTGCTCACTGACAGCCGTGTGACCTTGGGTAAATTATTTAGCCTCTCTGTTCCTCAGATTCCTTATCTATAAACAATGGAAAGGAAAAAAAGAAAATGGAGAAAACAATAGCGCTAACCTATACAGTCAGGAATGTTTTCAAGTGTAATTTAGAGAAAGCGGTTTATATCCTAACTTCATTTATTGCTCTCAGTTAAGACCGAAGATAGCAATTTCAATGTTTTTTCCATAGTTTGAGGTTATTAGCAAAGATTCTAGGGTCTGTCAGCTCTGCCACCTGGTTCTTCAACACATAGCTGGTGGTCAGACAGAGGTGAGCAATCCCAAGCAGCTGTCCTTTCATGTGTGATCTATGGATGTGACTGTTGTCCCAGAGCCTCTGTTTCCCAGCACATTTCCCTCTGCAGCTCACTGGCCAGAGCTCAAGTCACATGGCCATTCCTGGCTACAGGAGACTAGCAAACAAGCGTCCAACAGAGAGGACTAAAACTGTCACTAACAGTCTCCATCCAGCACTGATTTATTACATTGGACCTATTGCAAAGTTAACTAGGACAGAGTTCTATAAGCAAGAGAAAAGTACTATTTGGGGCAACAATAGACAGTGTCAGCCACATGATCCTGGGCCTAACTGTGAAGGTACAATGGCTTAATTCATGTACAGTGTTTAGACCAAAGCCTGGAACAAAGCAATGCATGCCATAAATCATCATTGCCATTATCATCAGGACTTATATTATCAGGTTGCTGATTCTCATGGTTTTCACAGATGTCTATTTTTCCCTCAGTTTCTTTTCTGGTATGTTTTTCTCCCCTAATCTTTTTACTTCAGTACCATTAAAACTTGATCACTATTCACCCAATTAAAAAGCTTTCATTTTAGGTACTAATTAAGCACATACACATTACACATATACATGCACTGGAGCAAGTATTTGGCACAGTGGTTAAAATGCCATCCAATATCAGAATACCTGGGTTCAAGTCCCGACTCCACTCTCCATCCTAGTTTACTGCCAATGTACATCTTAGAAAATGACTCAAGTACTTAGGAACATCTACACATGCTGGAGACTGGAACTGAGTCCCTGGCCCTGGCTTCACCCAGGCTGTTGTAGGCATTTAAAGAGTAAACCAATGACAGAAGCCTGCTCTCTGCCTTTCAAATAAAAAATAAAACACTCATATATATGTCATATATATGTGTGTGTGTATATATATATATATATATATATATATATATATATATACACATACACCAAATACGAGGCTAAGCAAGACCTTATTTAATCTTTATGGTACTATTATTTTCACCATTTCACAGATGAGGAAATTGAGGTTAACTAATAGTTCCAGGTGATGTAACTAATAAGTGAGAGATGGCAGATCTTTTGGTGTTCCTTTTTTTTTGGTGGGGGGGTAGATTTTCCATCTGCTGGTTCACTCCCCCAAATACAACAACCAGGGCTGGGCCAGGCTAAATCCACACACCCAGAAATCAATTCCAGTTTCCCACGTAGGAGTCAAGGACCCAAGTACTTGAGCTATCCCCTCACCTGCTGACTTCCATGATGCACTTAAACAGGAAGCTTCACTGGAAGTAGAGTAGCCAACACCCAAGCCAGGCACTCTGACATGAGATGCAGGCATCCAGAGTGGCAACTCAGGCCACTGTGCCAAATGCCCACTCCCACTCCTGGGCCATACTTTAATGACTACTATGTCATATTCTGATATACTCTCTAATCATTCTAAAGCTTCTGCATTACGGTAAAATTTTGTCAATTTCTTATAATTTTGAGGCTACTCTGGAAAATGAAAGGTTCAGAAAGCTGGATTAGTGAGCTTTTAATGTAATAATTAACACAGTGAAATAATTTGCAAGAGGCAGTTAACAGCAGCCTGAAGTAGCAGGCTGAGTATTTTAAGCCTCATCCTAGAGAACAGCATAGATTAACATTTGTCCATTACACTGTTAGTTTACAGAGCCTTTTGAGACTATGATGGAGGCTACAGTTTCCCTTCCCAGATAAAAAGGAAAACTGCACAGATTTGCAGATCACTTCAGGGATTTCAAGGAACCCCCAAAAAGCCCAGCCATGAACTCCTAGGATTAGAAAATCAAATATTCTACTTACTACTCGATTCTTATCAGATTTTTTAGTGAAAGGTTTACTATATTCACTATACTAAACTTTAATGATCTAGATAACTGAAAAACACTGAACAAGGAGAGAAAAGAATTAACTTTTGTGTGTTGTTACTGCCACCTGCTGGTCACACTTAGGTCAATCCTAACTTCATAAATTGCTGTGTAAATTGTTTTGAATCTAAAAATCCTTGTTTCTGTCCCCTCATTTTGCTTTCTAATCTGAATATATTGTAAAGCACTAGGCCTGTTAACAAGCTGTGCTTTTACAATTGAGTATATCTTTATGTTGGTATCCTACTCCTTAAATTTATCAGCCTGCCCCCTCTTTATTCCTTGCTATCCACATTAATTTGGAAGTTCATCATGTCTATTTCACTACCTCTCTTTTGTATGAATGACCTCCATACTCCACATTCCATCAGAAATGTCTTTAAGCTTAAGGACACATACACACACACCCCTTCCATCTGCTGGCTTACTCCTCCTGCCCACAACAGCTGGAAATGAGCCTTGAGCCAGGCTGAAGTCAGGAGTCAGGAACTCCATCATAGTCTCTACAAGGGTTGCAGGAAACCACATTTCTGGGCCATCTGCTGCCTCCCAGGAATACTACCAGGAAGCTTGACTGGATGCAAAAAGGAACCAAGCCTGGGAATTCTGATAATAGGATGAGGGATACCAAGTGACAGCTCAACATCCCCCTATATCCCCACCCCAACCAACAAAGATCTTTTAACAGCTCCAGCCATGTTACTCTCCCCACTTCAAATTCCTAATCATCTCACACGTCTGCAGGATTAAATCCAGTCTTCACCTCAACTTTTCAGCTGGCCTCTAGGAGGGAGGAGAGAGAGACAATCTTCCACCTGCTGGTTCACTGTACAAATGGCCACAATAGCCACAGCTGGTCCAGGCCAAAGCCAGGAGCTCCTTTTCCAGGTCTCTCACATGGGTGGCAGGGATCTAAACACTTGGGCCATCCTCTGTTGCCTTCTCAGGCATAATAGCATGCAGCTGGATCTGAAGCAGAGTAGCGAGGACTCAAACCTCTGGTCCTGTATGGGATGCTGGTGATGCAAGCTGCAACTTAACCCTTCTGCGCCACAATACCAATAACTAGGCTGCGGGTATGGCCAGAATGTGGATCAAATTTGATCCAAAGTTAAGAGGTGAGTGTGTGTGTTGTGTGTATAAAGACAAAACAAAAAGGAACCATTAAGCATATGCAAACTAGATTCAATTGTTTAAGTGTGGTCCAGGAGACTCAAACAGTGCATAGCAAAGGACTCCAAACATAAGCTGTCAATTCAGGGATGGATAAGGCTAAGATTTTGGCAAGAGCCATTATGGTTAACAGTAACAATTCAGTAGTATCCAAATATATTTGAGGGTAAGAGCAGATGGCATGCACTCATTTTCCTAAATCCTGGCACAACAGATGTTCTATAAATCATTCTGAATGCATGAATGAAATTTTACCTGAACTTCATTTGTGATATCTAATTTATTGACACTGTCTTCATGATGCTAGACAGATTAATCAATTCATTGACAAACCTGCTTGATTTTCGTGCATTTTAGGTTGGTTCCTATAAATGGAGGTGATTGTTTCCTACCACATCCAGAAACGATTAGAAAACTAGTTTGCTTCCTTAATTTCTAGTGGCCGATTATGCTTTTTCTTTTCCATTTCAGCATTTCTATACAGAAACATTCAAATGAATCTCGCTACATGATTTACGAGTTCTGGGAGAATAGTAGTGTGTGGAATAGGTAAGTTATGAACAAGGCTGACTTTGGTGAAGCCAGGGAGATGACATTATGCATGATGTAATTTTGGGATATTAGGAAAAGTTCCATCTAACTTACCTTAAAACCTGTCTCATTTGCTCATTACCATGATTCACACACTTTTAGGAATTTTATGGATCAGAAAGCACTTCCATCTTGAAGCACAAATATTTTGGGCAATGATCCTACTGCCAATGCTACCATTTTATTGATACTTTAAGGTGAGATGATTTAGATAGGTGTTGTATCTAAGGCAGGTGGGGATGACAGTGGGCACGGAGACAAAAAGATGCAGAAAATTGGAGAGGGAAAGCATTACCTCCGAATTTTTTCGAAGAAGCTTCGTGCTTCTCATTTATTTTACAGTAAAACGATCATTTTTCTAAATGTCTTTAAACATAATAAAGATGGGAATTCAAGACATTTTTGGGAAACATTAAAAATAAATCAACTTCTTTGAAATTAAAATGATTACTAGTAACAAATATGTAACTAGAAAAATAGGATGAAAGATGTTTTTGCTATTTGGAGATTATTTAAACAGTCCCACATAATATAGCTCTCCACTACGTCCAGATTTTCACAGTGTTTGTACAGGGCACTGGAAGTAATGGAGCACTTGAAATTCAGTTGACATATTTCACCTAAAAGTTTTATTTTTGTGGCTATTGTGAAGGCACTTTGTGCTATATAATAAAAGCAAAATGACAACAGAGGTACTTCAGGCACAGACTGGAACATAAAGGCAATTCATTCAACTCCAGTCTTCCAGGCCTACACTTTTAGATGACTTTTGTTTTATTCTCTAGGGATAGAAAATTCAACCCTCCTCTTAGCCATTCTACTTTTTAACACCATGACGGTCAAGATCCTCTCTGTTTAAAAAATCTTACTATAATTAAAGTCTACTTCATTTTAACTTCTAAAAAAATTAATGTTCCCATTTTAAAACTTTTTCCTACTATTTCTTTTTTTTTTTCCTACTATTTCTGATGACAATTTTTTAAACTACTCAAGTCCTTTTTTCAGATAAATAAGCATTTAAAGACGTCTGCACCCAGGCACTTAATCAAATCATCCAAAACCTTGCCATCTTGTTTTGATCTCTTCTGTACTCTGTGAATAAAAATACACAGCCTTAACCTATAATTATTTATGCAGCCACCTCCAGACGAATTATAGCAAGACATTCCAAAGAAGTAATGTGGATTTCTTGGAAACTCCAGAACTCACATCCACTATGCTTGTTCCTGGTAATTATCATGGATTCACAATACTTCTATGTGCTTTTGTATCTTTTGTTTTTTAAAAGATGGTATGCACTCCCCCCTACTTGCTTTCTCAATGATACTCTTCATTATTTATTTTTATCTCTTAAAATTTGGGGGCAGAGTGAAGGAAATAGAGACCTATGTATTTATTCTATTGCTGTTAGTCCTCAGTTGACCCTTCCTGTATTCCTGGGTAATTAAACCTATTGTTCATTTGCTGGTGAACTTCAAAATTTTAACAAACTTAAAGTACAAGTCAAACCATGAGAATTCAAAAGTGATTCAAATGTTTTATCACATAGTAATTTAACGTATTGAATACAAGTTTAAAATAAGTGATCCATAAACTGGAAATCAGAATTATGTGAGAAATATTTATTTTGGTAGCTGTTAAAATAATATTTAAATTGGAAGCAAAGAGAATAGAAAAAAAAAACTGAAATGAATTTGTCTAAGAAATTTGGCCTAGCCAAAACTTATTTAAGAAAACTGAAAACCAAAATTCATGTCTTAATCTACTCATTACTGGTTAAACATACAGTTAGTGATGATTAATACATACTTGGTCCTGGGGTTACTGGAGTGCTTAGCCCATTTACTGGTACTGAGTTCTGAACAAGTAGTGTGTTGGGATCGAGAGAGGGTTCAAAATAAAAATGCAGTCCCTAAATATACAGTGTTTCCTGTCCAATTTGATAGAAATCTTAGCAAACACAAATGACTCCAGAAAAACAATCCACCCCAAGGCATTAAATAGTAATAACTAGGAGTAAAGTATGCCTTGTGGACTTGGATGAAATAAGTAATCTCTTCCTCTGTAACAGTTGAAGGAGATGAATATGGACCTTAAAAGAGGAGACCTGGACAAGTAAAGATGGAAAGTGTACTTTGATAAATTCTAGACATGAACAAATACAAGAAGTGAGTGCTTGGCTTACTGGTACAAAGGTATGAGTCAGGCTCATAATATGATACAAATGGAAGAGGGCAAAATGCAGTGAGAATGTCAGAATGAGGAGTGTATACAGTAATCCTAAGTCAGGAATTAACCTTAGCAAGATGAAGGTGGAATGGAAAGTGAAAAAATTGTGGAATTAAAGCTTGGTGATCTAATGTGAATGCTTTCCAACTCCCTCATTCATTAATGTATTTGTTATAGGGCAGGTTTGTCTAACAGAGAATGGTAAACTTGTGAAATTTCTCTCATTATATAGTTCAAATTTAGTTCTCAAACATGAAAGCCATGAATATGGCTGAAATTGCTCATAATTCACTACTTCATTGATACAGTTTAAATAAGCATGCACCAAAGCTTGAAGAAAGGTGCAAGTGACAGCACAGATTAGTAAGGAACAGACTTCACAGACTGCCTTCAATTTTCCCAAGAAAGTCCTGGCTTAATTATTATATCAGGCTTGAACAGTCTGCTCTAACTGGCAGAAAAGGCATAGACCAAAACTTCTATAAATATGACTACTGTAGCCTGTATACATAGAACACAGATAAGCAAGATCCACATCTTAGTTTCACATCCCCTGCTTTAGTGCAGCAGTACAGTGTTTGGAACAAAGTGACAAATCTTTATGATGATGTCCAATCATGAGAATTTCCAGGAAGTCCTGCCACTTGTGATTTTTGCACCTGCTGTCAACCATTTTCAGCCTCAATCTTGAAAGCACTGGTTCAGTTATACAGAACAAAAGGAAATAGCTTGTTCTTATGCAGATGTCTTGAATCTTTCAAGGACAGAAAACACCTAAGCAAAGATACAGTAGAAAGAGACTATAGGAAGGTAGGTTAGTGAGTTATGAGGGGGATAATTGCTATAGCAAGACCTGGAAATGTAACCAGATAGTTTCTGACCCAACTTAATGTCCTCATTCTCACTGATTATCTTTCTTTGCATTAATATCAATGGTATATGCATTACACTACTCTTTCAGAGCATTTCCTAGAGAGAAAAATTGAGCACAAATAAAACTGGATTATTGTTCTAAAGCCCAGATTTAATACCTTTTAATTGTAGTTCAATGTTGTATTAATTCACATATCACATCAAGTTCAAATAATGATCACTAGAATTTGAAAAACCAAAAAGAAGGCTTGTTTCTAACAATTTTTTAAAACTACCTCAAACCATTTTTAACATTTAATAATTAAATTTTTGTTCCTTATTTTACTTGAAAGGAAGAGAGATATTCTATGTGGTGGTTCACTCTGAAAATGTCCACAACAGCCAGGACTCAGCCAGGCTGAAGCCAGGAACCCAGAACCCAATTCGGGGCTCCTATTTCAGTGGCAGGGATCCAAGCATGAGAGTGCAATAGGGGGAAGCCAGAACGAAAAGCAGAGCTGGGACTCCAATTTGGAATGCTAGCATCCCAAGCATTTTCTTAGCTGTTGTGCCAACTGTCCACCCATACTCTCCACCCTTGACTTGATTTTAAAGTTTTATAATCACATCATCAGGCAGATATACCTGAACAAAAAGCTGAAATTAACATATATGAATAACATTTAGGGGTTTTAACAGCCACAAGACATCTAATACTATTTTAATAGCCAGTTTTGCATCTTTTTGTGTATTTTATTTGGTTGTGTTAAAAATAAAAACATTAGCTGTACATATTTAGAGCTAGTATTAAATTCTGAAAGTAGCTATTATATTTGTAAACACAAGGATAAGTAGGTTTATATTTCTAATTTAACTCAATTATCATTTCTAATAATACTGTTTTTATTGTTTGTTAAGTGATATACCTGAGGTATACCTCAGTAAATAGAGCAAGTAAACTAGACTGCATCTGAATATAAAAATATAAACTAAAATATATTTCTATGAAATCTAAAGTGTGAAAATCATTCAAATAAGACTTAATGGAAAATGGCTGCCCAAGATCATAGCCATCATAAACCATTTAGACAAAAAAGGCATGAGAGGAACAGCTGCTTGGGATTACTTGCATGCCATAGTGGCATACCTGGGGCTTCAAAATCCCCTGAGACAGGTGATAGCTTAAGTAGTTGGATCCCTGCCAACCTCTTGTCTCCTGACTTCAGCCTGCCTCAGACACAGCCACTGTGGGCATTTAAGGAGGGAACCAGCAGATGGGAGAGAGATCTCCTCCTCGCCCCACACCCCACCTTATATAAGATTTATTTATTTCAGAGGTAAAGTTATATACAGAGGGAGAGACAGAGAGAGGTCTTCCATCCACTGGTTCATTCCCCAAATGGCTGCAATGGCTGGTGCTGGGCCGATCAAACAAGGAGCTTCTTCTAGGTCTCCCATATAGGTACAGGGGCCCAAGCACTGGGGCCATCCTCCACTGCTTTTCCAGGCCATAGCAGAAAGCTGGATCGGAAGTGGAGCAGCCAGGACTCGAACTCGCACCCATATGGGATGCTGGTACCACAGATAGAGGCTTAACCTAGTATGCCATAGCGTTGGTCCCAAATAAATATTTTTTTAAAGTGTATGAGAACTTAGTCTTTGAGAAAGAATATTCCTTGATTTCTTGGTATAAGACAAAGTCCTGTGGTTATGAGAAGATAAAGATTGCTTGCCAGCAAATAAGAGTTTTGAAAGAAAATTTTAAGTTTTTTTATTTGCTGTCTATCATAGCATTCTACCAATTGTACCTCTTTACCAGAAGTTTATCTTATTCATCGAGGAAAACATTTCCAGTTTTACTATTTAATTTATATTCTAAAAAATTATTTATAACACTTTCTCTTGCTTATACTCAACCTTTCTTAAATCTATATTAGGAAATATAATGTATAAAATGCTTCCAAACTATTGTTGGTATTGGGTAGATTAAAACAACAACAACAACAAAATTTTATCTTTACAGCATTTATAACCCCATTACGAAGACAAGCCCTATTTATTTATAACAAAAGATTATCTTTTGGACCTTTGTTGTACTCTTAAAATGTACAAATAATAACTGCATAGAAATAATTCAGTCTTGGCATAAATAGTCAGGAAATGGTGACTAGAAAGATAGTTTTACAAACTAAGGATGGGGGGATGGTTTCCTTAAAAATGATCTGCACCTTGAACTTTATTTGCTTTGGAAGTTATTTTCATTACTTAAAAAAAAATTTTTCCTCTTTTCAGCTTCATGGTGGATCCTGAACAACAATTAGATGTTCCTAGGATATTTTCTTTATGGTCCCAAGTACAAAACAAATGTTCTTATCTAAAATGTCAAACAGAACAATTTGTGTGGTTGTTAACTTACTGTATACTTCTGTTTAATGCATTTACTCTAAGTGCAGTAAAATGTATTCTGTATCTTTACCAGTCATGTGAAGTTGTCTTACCTTTCAAAGTTCACTTTCCCAATATTTGCTGCTCATTGTTTTGCTACATTGTAACCAAATTCCTAGTATATGAAAAAAGTGTATGCATAAAGGAATCACATTGTGAAAAAATGATAAAAATATTTAAACTGCAAATTTTGAGAATATTACTATTTAGGACAGGTTTTGTAGACTGTCATATACTATACAAAGGTTAAATCGGTGTATTGTGATTTTTAAATAACGATTTTCTGCAAGTGAAACTTATTCTTTAATAATGTCTGTTCATTCCCAACTCAGGATCCTAAGTCTATTCTCTACATTACTTAAAAGATTAGTACAAAGGCATAAAACAGCCTTGGCTATCACCTATAGAATCTCTGCCCATCTGTTAGCTTATAAAATGAGTTTCACAAGTGAATAATTCTGTGACAAGTTAGGATACCATTTACTAATGTAATATCATTATATCATCAGTTAGCACTTAATTCCCCTTACATTAAACATGAAAAAGTTTCACTTCGTGGAAATCTTGTTCAAATTTTATAACATGGATTCCATTTGTGTTCTAGAGACCTAACTTTTCTTATAAAATATAGACATCTGCATTTAAGAATTTCAAAATATTTTTAAAATAAAAGTTTAACCCAAATGAATATGAGGAAGTTTCAAAAAGCACAAAACATTAGAGTAGTAATAAAATTGGGAAAGAACTGGGCAGAAGATATCTATTTTCCAGTTTCAACACTAGAATGACAAACTATGTACTTATATTCCCTTCTCTACAAGCTCTTAAATTGTTTTTAATAATAAAAATTTTTCTGGTTATAAGTTCTGCTAATGAAAAAATATATATAGAAATGTGTCACTATAGGAGTCCAACTGCTTTTTTCATTCTTTGAAAACTCAATAGAAAAGGGAGTTTCTTTTACATAAAATCTGACAAATATTATCAGGCTAGTTTATGCAACATTAACTTTTACTAATACCTCTGTATACCCACAGTCCTCCATCTAAATAACATTTAAAATTTTTAATAATTTCTATGTAACATAAATTTTGACATACACATCCATATCAAGTATATATATCATATTGAGATGTGTGTTTGCGTGCCTCTGGTCAACTCAGACAAGCACTCTCAACACCTGGCTGGACTTTTAATTTATAAGCAAAGAAAAATATTAATGGAGAAATACAAAGGCAAACATAACACACAGTTTTTGTGGTTACATATAAGGATGAAAAGACTAAAACCTAAAGGACTTTTGACAAATTGTTTTTGAAATCATTTATATCCAGCATTTCCTAAGATACATAGCTCCAGTCTGTCCATTTCAATATCCAATTCAAAAAGTATTTGGGCTATGAAGCAGTTTCTGAAGAAGCATAACAGTATGGTTTTAAAAGGGTTCTGCCCTCAGTAACAGTGCTAAATTTAATTTGGTATCTAGAGAGCCATTCCATTAAGTTCTATCACAGTCTTATACTAGAATCAAAAGGACCTGGTGATAGATTTAATGATGTAATTCTGATCTTAGCTCTTATATAGTTTATCATGTATGTGAGAGTGTATGTATTCACATACATATTATAATATAAAAGAAAAATAGAGCAAAAACAAATAAACTGGGCCCTAAGTATAAATAGTTCCTTTTAAAATAGAAAAAAAATTCAGTAACTTCATAAATTTATTGCTTATTTTAAAAACAATCCATTTTTCTGAGGGAATAAAGCACTAAAAAAGAGGGAGTGGGTACTGAAAGACAAAGATGGGAAATCATGGACTAAACACTTGAAATCTGGCTAACAGATTCAAAACCCAGGGAAGATAAAAAAAAAAAAAGGCAGGCACTAAGTTTGGGAGGTCACAATTCAGTAAAAAGAAATTTATCCAACAAACGATGGTCTTGAATACCTTTCCAATAGACTCAAGGATCTGAGAGAACAGAAGCAGCAGAGAGAATTTATTTTCACTTACCTTTACGTCAGCAGTTTTGACATTGTGCTGAAAAAAATCTTTAACAATAGTAACATCTAGAATGACAAACTACAGGAGGCTTATTGTATAACATTTCTAGAAATTAATGTACCGCAATTTGCAAATGTCTAAATTTTTCTTTTGGAAATTAGTTTTATTTAGCAACTGCTCAATTTTTATTGTTCATTTGATGAGACATGAGTAGCAGCTTTCAATTTGTTTCATTCACTACCACTGTTTCAAAATAGTCAATCTCTAGTAATTGTGAACCTCAGATTGTTATCAAAAACCTAGATACCAATCATATATTTTATAAAAAAAAATGCCTACTGAAAAATTCTCCCTCTTGTCATTGAAAATTAGGCACTGAACATCCTAAATCATTCTACACCTCTGGAGAGAGTGTAAGGATTCACTGAAGCACTGGTATCAAATCAGTGAGAACCTACTTTAAAAGCAAATTAACTATAAAAGAAATTCTATACCATTTATACCTTGTAGCAAATACTTTATATTTGAGAATCTTTACAGCTTACATGTCCATTCCATTATTACAAGTGATGAAACACAAAAATTGCAAGTAGCATGCAAATTATAAATACAGTCTTCCCACTTCACTAACCAAATTCCTACTTTTCAGTGTTACTTTGCAATTTATGCAGGAAACTGCCTGCAAAGCTGAAATTGATTAGAAAATTCTTTATAGTTTAAAATATCTTTCTCATTTTAGGAGAAACCAAATAGCCAACCATCAAAATTAAAAATAAAATGAATTGTCACAGTCCATTATAGTTATTGTTACTAGATCCACTTCATTTGCAGGTGTCCAAAATATAAAACGAATAATTCTTTATCTTCAAATTCATCTGTTCTTAAAATGCTACTTAAAACTCTGGTTGTTTTCCTGTAATACAAAAGAGTTGATTTATAAATTAGATTGGCTGAATATAGTTTTACTAGTTTATCAAAAGAAAAACTGAACTTACTCTTTGCAGATATAAATGCATGTTATTATAGAAACTATTAAAATAACTACAGTTGTCAAATAACATTCTGTGTTTCAAAAAAAAGGTACTTCATTTTTAATAAATTGTATTCCAAACCTGTGTTGCTTTGTTTCTGTGATACCTCATTTTTAAAAATGTTAAGGCATAAATCAAAATTCTAATGTATTCTAATATGTTTGTTTAAGAAAGTGTATGTCAAACATTTAAACAATAAAATAAATATGGAAAGACTTTTTTAAATTTTTAATTACTACTTGACAGGCAAAGAGGCAGAAAACTCCCATCTGCTAGTTCACTCCCCAAATATATTAGCAAGGACTGGGCATGGCTATAGGAATCAGGAAGTCAATCCAGGTCTTCAATGAGGGTGCCAGGAACCCAATTACTTGGACCATCAGCTCTACCTTCCAGGGTCTGCATTAGCAGGAAGCTGGTGTCAGAAGCCAAAGCCAGATATTAAACTTGGGTGTTATGATAGGGGGCCCAGAGTGTTAACTGGCCTCTTAACCACTAGGCCTAATGCCACCCCTAAAGATGGAAAATCTCCAAAGGAAAAAGGGAATGTATTTTATATAGCACCGAAGTTTATATTTCCTCTCACAAAGGACTACAAAAATCCACAATATCTTGGAACAGGCAGGAAAATCCAAACATCAAGTATATTTTTCCTCATTAAATATTGTGAGATATTATGAAAAAAAATTTTTTTAAAATGTCTAAGTTAAGGGGTTTAGGAAATATTAATATAAAATATAAGCTTTTTAAAAAATTCTAATTGAGAAAAGATACTAATGGATCCCCATGGATCCACTGTAAACAGGAGACAATCATATGTATCTCATATTTGATCCATTCTCAGCCTATCTGTATTCTATCATCTCAGCAGAATACTAATTGCCTTTACCTATACAAAACAGTGTTGATGGAAACTAATTCAAACTCCAGTCAAATGTAAGTAGAACTGTGAAAGGACAGAAATCATTACTGTGTGCATAATGAGATAGGAACCCAAAACAGACCACACGCATTTTGCCAAAAAAGAGAGGACTATCCACTCAAACTTATTAATAGAATGGCTGAACATCCATGTAGGAAAAAATGTAGTTTTGCTCCTACCTCATAGAGTAAAATTAACTCCAGATAGACTATAGAAGTTAATTAAAAACAAGAGAATCTTCAGAATGATACAATATTTTCATGACCCTTTAATCAAAAAATATTTCATAAAAAAATACAATTATTATATTAAAGTGGTAATTATAATTTGGTATGTTGTATTCATACATTATACTTGTACATTATACTCATCTTTCCAACTCTTATTTGTTTTCTGAATTATATTTCAAAATAAGAATGGTTCAAAGTCTAGAAGTATAATCAAAAATGTTAAAGACAAAAATTAGGGAATGCATTATTACAGTACAAAATTACAAAACTACTTACTGGTTTTTTAAGTACAATGGGATGATCAGGCAGAAAGTCTGGTTTTTTTCTGCAGATGGAAACACTTGAGAGCTTCAACAGGAAATCTCTGCTGTATTTAATTCTCTCTGTAGATATTAAACATTAAATGTAATGCTACACAACAAAATTCTGAATCACTTTTTGACTCATTTCTTTCCAGGTATTTCTTAACTACTTATGATTACATAAATTGACTAGTGTCTATGCAAAAGGTGGCAGAAGCTTTGAAAATTATATACTGCTTCCAATTTTCCTTTTACATGAAGAGGAAGCCAAGTAAATAAGGAACAATGGAAGAGTTTATTGATATATCTGGTTATGCAGATCTTGTAAAACGATCTAATATTATGAAGCATAATAGCAGTAACACCTACTGGGAAATTCAAATCCTGTCAAAATCAAACCTTGGGGCTGGCACCATGGCGCAGTAGGTTAATCCTCCACCTGCAGCGCCGGCATCCCATATGGGTGCCAGTTCTTGTCCCAGCTGCTCCACTTTCAATCCAGCTCTTTGCTGTGGCCTGGGATAGCAGAAGATGCCCCAAGTCCTTGGGCCCCTGCACCCACGTGGGAGACTGGGAAGAAGCACCTGGCTCCTAGCTTAGGATCGGCACAGCTCTGGCCATTGAGGCCATTTGGGGAGTGAACCAACGATCAAAAGACCTTTCTCTCTGTCTCTCTCTCATTGTCTAGCTCTCAAATAAATAAATCTTTTTTAAAAAATGGAACCTTGATAAGCTTTCATAATCTCAATCAATACTAAAAAATTAATAAAAATCAAAAACCAGGACTACATTAGGTACTGCTGAACAAGAGATAAGAAGGAGAACAATGATTCAAGTACAGCACAGGCCGAGTGTTCTGTATCTGAAATGCCTGGGACCAGATGAAGTTCAGAATTTTATTAATTTGTGAGTATTAGATAGACTTTACCAGTTGAGCACCCCTAACCTGAAAAACTTGAAATCTAAAAGATTCCAAGATCCAGATCTTTATGGGTATCAGCACTCAAAAGTTTTGGATTTCACAGCATTCAGATTACAGACTTACAGCTTAGAGATGCTGTCTGTAGCTCTACAGATTTCTTATCAGAAATGATCATCAGAGGGGTCAGTATTGTTGTATAGATGCCACTGCCATTCAATGTGGGTGACAGTTTGTGTGTGGCTGCCCTACTTCCCATCCAGCTCCCTGCTAATGACCTGGGAAAAGCAGCAAAAGATGACCCAAGTGTTTGGGCCCCTGTACCCAGCTGAGAGACTCGAATTAGGCTCCTGGCTTAGGCATGTTCCAGCTCTGGCTGTTTTGGCTATCTGGGGTGTAAACCAGCAGATGGAGGATATCTCAGTCTCTCCCTCTGTCTCTGCAACTCTGGCTTTCAAATAAACAAATCTTTTTTTAAAAAAAGAAAAATAAATGATTGCCTGAATCTATCACTAAGATAGACCATATATTGGTCCAGAAGACAACTGGAACAATATTTTTGTAGTGCTAAAAGAAATAAGTGGTAACCCAGAATTCTACATCCAGTTGAGGAGGGCAAGAGATCTTGGGGAATGCATGTGAATTAAAGATAGTTTCAGATGAAGGAAAACAATTGATCACCAGCAAACCTGATCTATAAGAAATGCTGAAGAAAAGTTCTGGCTAAAGGGAAATGACACTAGATAGGAACATTAAAAGATATAATAAATAGCTGATAACAGATGCCTCTTTTTTCCTCTAAGTTTCATAAAAATATGTAATAGTTGAAAGAAAAAGTTTTAACAGTTATCTAGTGTAGTTTCCATGCTATGGGGGCATATTTAACAACTATAGCAAAGGATCACTGCAGTAAAGGGAAGGAACCGCATGTAAGGTTCATCGTCACTATTATATTTGAAGTAGTACAATATTAATCCCAAGTAGAGAGATTATATATGTCATTACAATCACTAGAACATAATCTATACAGGTTAGATATTATGACAAAGAACAACCACTCTAAAATACACACTAAAAAATTTTAATAGACAAAATATTAAAAAAAAATCCGCAAGGTGGCAGGGAAGGAGAAAAGAAAAAGCAAACAAGCAAACAAAAATTATAAAAGACTAATAGAAAACAAATAGTAAAGTAATAGGCTTAAATTCAACCATCTCAACAATCATATTAAATGTTAATAATCTAAACCAGGGTCTATAAAAGGCCAGCAAGCAAATATTTGAGTTTGGGGGCTATATGATCTGTCACAACTACCCAATTTTATATTAAAGACACAAAAGTAGCTCCAGATAGTACATAAAATAAAAGATGTAGCTGTGTTTCAATAAGCTTTACTTACAAAAATAAGCATTTGGAGATGAGTGACCCAGTGGTTAAGATGCTGCCTGGGACACAAACAGCCCCTATCAGAGTTCCTGGGTTTGTGTGCCAGCTCCACTTGTGACTCCAGCCTCTTTCCTAATGCACACTGTGGGAGGAATCAGTAATCCCTCAAGTAGTTAGATGTGTGCCATTCACATAGAAGACCTGGATCCAGTTCCAGATTCCTCACTTCAACCAGGCTCCTGCTCCAGCTATTGTGGGCATTTGGGGAGTCAATCAGTGGATGGAAGATGTTTTTTTTTTCTCTCTCTCTCTCCTTCTGCTTTCTTTCAAATAAATAAATAAAAATTTAAAAATAGGTATTTAACCTGCAGGTCATAATTTTCTGGCCCCTAGGTTAAACAAACACATTAAAGGCTACAAAACTTGACAAGGTAGATTAAAAAGAAAAAAAAAGACACTATTACATTCTATCTGCAAAAGACACAGTTTTTTGTTTTTTTTTTTTTTTATTTGACAGAGTTAGATAGTGAGAGAGAGAGAGAGAGACAGAAAGGTCTTCCTTCCATTGGATCACTCCCCAAATGGCCACTATGGCCGGTGCTGCACCAATCCGAAGCCAGGAGCCAGGTGCTTCTTCCTAGCCTCCCATGCGGGTGCAGGGACCCAAGGACTTGGGTCATCCTCCACTGTCCTCCCGGGCCACAGCAGAGAGCTGGACTGGAAGAGGAGCAACCGGGACTAGAACCCGGCACCCATATGGGATGCCGGCGCCATAGACGGAGGATTAACCAAGTGAGCCATGGCTCTGGCCCCAAAGACACAGTTTTTAAAAAGATTTATTTATTTATTTGAGAGGCAGAGTTACAGAGAGAGAACGGGATAAAGAAAGGTCTTCCATCCACCAGTTCACTCCCCAAAGAGCCACAATGGCCGGAGCTGGGCCGACCTGAACCCACAAGCTTCTTCCGGGTCTCCTACGTAAGTGCAGGGTCTAAGCACACCCGCTATCTTCCACTATTTTCCCAGGCCATTAGCAGAGAGCTGGATCAGAAGTGGGGCAACTCGTACTTGAACCTGTGCCCATATAGGATGCCTTTACTGCACGCAGAGGCTTAACATAATTTGCCACAGCAGCAGCCCAAGACACACATATTAAAGACATGTTTAGGTTGAAAGCAAATGGATGGGCAGGATTGTGTCATGGTGGATTAAGCCACTGCTTGTGCCACCCACAGTCTATATCAGAGTGACAGTTCAAGCCCCAGCTACTCCATTTCCAATCCAGCTGCTTGCTCATGTGCCAGGCAAGCAGTGGATGATAGCTTAAGTACTTGAATTCCTGCCACCCATGTGGGAGACCCAGATCCAGGCTCCTAGCTTTAGTCTGGCCCAGCCCTGGCTGCTTCAGCCATATGGGAAATGAACTAATCAGTAGAAATCCTCACTCTCTCTCCCTCTCTCCCCCTCCTCTCTCCTCCTCATCCCCTCCCCTCTTCCCTGCCCCTCTCCCCCTCATGCACCTCTCTCATTGCTGAGGAAACAGAACTTTTACTGAGGAATGTACAGATCCTTTGTGTGGTCCTTGGGACAGAGCAGATGAGTATTATACCCACCAGTGCTAGAACTCAGGCACTGGACTCCTTTGAGGAGAGGAGCTCAGCTGAGCAGAATAAATTTCCCTTCTGATTAAAAAAGAGAGAGAGAAAAGATTTACCATGGCAAATCAGGGTGTCATCGTAGGCATGCCCTTAACCCTAGAGAACTGAACAAAGTGTTCTGGCCACACCCACTACAAGCCTCTAGATAGTCACTGAAAGCAGACATTCCACTTTAATCTATAGAGTCATAGTTCATAGTACAAAGAGAAAAGCTACCACAGCAAAAACAACAAAAAATGAAGATACCAGTGAGCATCTCCACAAATGCCAAACACAAATGCACCAATACAAGAAACAAGAAAAAGGAAGACAATATGATGCCCCTAAAAGAACACAACACTTCAATACTAGATTGTGAATATGATGAGATGGCAGAAATGCAAGAAATGGAATTCAAAAAATTTATCATAAGATTACACAAAAGTAATCAGAAGTATGTGCACGAACTACTGAAATCTGTACATGACATAAAAGAAGATCTTAAAGAGAAATAAAAATTCAACGAAGAATCCAACAGAAAAAATAAAAAATGAAGTGGAGAGCCTTAACAACATAATCAGTGAAGCAGAAGAAAGAATATTGGACTTAGAAGACAAAGCAGAGGAAATTATACAGTCAAACCAAAGACAAGAAGAGGAAATTAGAAAATTAAAAAACACTTGGGAATCTATAGGATACTATAAAGAGACACAATATACAGGCTCTAGGAGTTCCTGAAGGCATGGAAAGAGAGAAAGGATTAGAAGGCCTTTTTAGCAAAACAATAACCAAAAACTTCCCTAATTTGGAGAAAGAAAGGGACATCCAAGTACAGGGGGAAAAAAACTCCTAATAGATATGACAAGAGAAGATCCTCACCATGACACAATGTAATCAGACTCACCACAGTAAAACATTAAGAGAAGATTCTAAAATATGCACAAGAGAAATGCCAGATTAATTTCAGAGGAGCTCTAATTAGACTCACAGCAAACTTTACATCAGAAATTCCACAGGCTAGGAGAGATGTTGAGACATATAGTCCAAGTCTTAAGAGACAAAAAATGTCACCCCAGAATAGTATACCCTGCAAAGCTCTCATTTATGAATAAAGGTGAAATGAAGACCTTCCATAACAA